AATAATAATAAAAATAAAATTTTTACATTATTGAAAAATTTCTTCTATATCCCATATTAAATATTCACATTTATTATTTATTAATATTCACAAACACACATTCCTTTCAATATTTGCCGCGAGTTCATAATAATAATTTTACTTGATCTTGAAAAGCTGAGTTGAGGAAAAAAAACAAAAGAGCATATATATATATATATATACATGAATTTACATAAATCTGAACATTAAAGTACATGTACATTTGGATAAGCGCGTGTGTAATACGATATCCGCTATATATGCGAAAGAATTTTGTCGCGTATTGAAATTTTTTTTTTTTTTGCCCTTTTCACTTAAAAAGAAGTGAAATCTTTTTCCAAGTTTCTCGGGTAGATTTGTCAAGGCCGATTAAGTCGATACTAGTACACTTGAAACTGGAAACCAACAAGAGGATAAAAGAGAGGTGAAAAGGAACAAGTACAACGATCTCGTGTTTCGTTTTTACTGCAAAATTTTCCATTCCTATAACATATATGAGTAAATTTCTCGTCCTCTCATGAGACTTGTGGGACTTATAATCACAGAGTGGTGTTAGTATAGTAGATTCGAAAGTTTGCCTTCCGTAAAGAACAAGTCATCGGCTCGTGTCTTTCTATACGACAGGGCCGTATCGCAAAATTAATATCTATTTTTTTCATTATTATTTAAATAAATTCATTTGTTAATATAGTAAAATTTAATTAAGAAATAGATTTAAAAATTCACCCCGACCCCTGGGGTGTATTGGCACACTTACACTACTAAAAAAAAAAAAAATCGAATCAAATACACGTTTTATAACGATAAATGGAAAAAAGAGGAAAACATTATTTCAATGTCACATAGTAGTGAATAAATAATGTTATCAGAATTCAAACATAGTACGCAAAAATAATTCATATATTATAGTCTAATGCTGCACTTATATGAAGATGATAACTACAATGAATATTTTAAAATGCTTATAATTATAATATATATTAAAATTAAACTTGAATCATTTTCATTGAATTAAAATTTTTCCTGACAATGAATTTATAACCCAATATAATATCAAATTGGAATAATAATAATAATAATAATAATAATAAAGTTGTATAGTTGTAAGTTTGGATGACGATAAAAATATAAAATCGAACATACTATGAAAACGTTTAAAGTGAGCCTTTCACTGACCTTGTCAGGTATTCAGCAACGGGTCTAGATTTTCTAACAACAACAATAATAATATTCCAATCTACTAACGTTCTGAAAAGTGCACAACTTTCAATTGATTTCGTAGCTATGAAGATATATACAATTCCCATTGATGCAGTAAACATTGTATTTAAATAAAATTTATTTTGCAAAAACTAAAAATAAATTCTAATTTTTTTAGATATTTTAAATTTTGTCTAAAAGTAAAAAAAAAACCATTTATTTTTAAATAATAATTATTCTTCTTAAAAAAATCAAAATGCAAAAATGAAAACAAGAGAAAGAAGAAAATATATATAAATAGCAATAAAGAGTAACAATCTGGGAAAATTACATTATGAGGCAAATTACTGAGCGCAACATTAAACCATAATAATATCCCTTATACATTTATATTTGACTCTTATACATTCTATTATTATCAGTTATATGTTTCCTACATAGTGTAGCAGTCATATAATGATATATCAAACTCATATAATGATTGCGCCGACAGAAATATCTCATTGTTATCATCAACAAAAAAAAGTGTCGTAATTTCTGCCTATAAGTGTAAACAAATTTTTTTTTAAGCAAAATTCATTTATTTTTCGTTTATTAAAAAAGCACTAAAAAATTTCAGAGAAATATATACATTCTTTCACTTACTTTAACCCTACATTTAACCTACCTTGCCTCTACGTTGATCATGTTTTGACTCTTTATTGAAACTTCTTTGACTCATCATTGAATCAACATTAAAACTACTTTGACCATACATTAAATCTATATTTAACTTTCTATAAACCTATTTTGACCCTAGATTGGACCTTCTGTGACTCTTCATTGACCCTACATTGGACCTACTTTGCATCTGCATTGAACCTGTTTTGACCCTTTATTAAACCAACATTGAACCAACTTTGACTATACATAGAACCTATAATGAACCTTCTATAAACCTATTTTGACTCTACATTGGACCTTCTTTGACCCTACATTGGACCAACTTTGCCTCTGTATTGAACCTGTTTTGACCCTTCATTAAACCAACATTGGACCTATTTTGACCATACATACAACCTATAATGAACTTTCTATTAATCTATTTTGACCCTACATTGGACCTTCTTTGACCCTACATTGGACCTACTTTGACCCTACATTGGACCTACTTTGCCTCTTCATTGAACCTGTTTTGACCCTTTATTGAACCAACATTGGACCTACTTTGACCATACATGAAACCTATAATGAACCTTCTATTAACCTATTTTAACCCTACATTGGACCTTTTTTCACCCTACATTGGACCTTCTTTCACCCTACATTGGACCTACTTTGCCTCTGCATTGAACCTGTTTTGACCCTTCATTAAACCTACTTTGACCATATATAGAACCTATAATGAACCTTCTATAAACCTATTTCAACTCTACATTGGACCTTCTTTGACTCTTTTTTGACCCTACATTGGACTTACTTAGCCTCTGCATTGGTCCTTCTTTGACTCTTCATTGAACCAACATTGTACTTATTTTGACGATACATAGAACATATATTGAACCTTCCATAAATCTATTTTAACTCTACAATGTACCTACATTGAACCTATTTTGACTCTACATTAGACCTTTTTTGACACTACATCAGTCCTACTTCAAACCTTCTATGACCATAGATATAACCAATATACAACCTTTTATAAACTTATTTTGATTCAACATTGGACCTATTTTGACCATACATAGACCATATATTCAGCCTATTGTGAACCTACTTTGATCCCACTTTGAGCCTACATTGAATTTTTTTTTTGCATACAAAAGCGTTATTTTTGTTTGCTAAACAAGTATTCACGTGTTATTAAACGGATTTTAAAATTTCTCTCCTTTTTTTCTCTTGGTGCTTGTATATAGAGAAAAAAAATTAGCGTGCGCGCAGAAAGTTAAATATTTCTCTCCCTCCCTCTGAATAGTTTACAACTAGTTTTTTTTTTCTTTTTTGAAATAATTTTCTTTAGTGAAGTAAATTTTCACGTAGGCGGAAACGTGAGACAGTTACTCGCCGCTCGAAGACGCAATGTGCGAGTCTTGAATTTCAAGAGGGTCCATGAAAGGCTTTCCTCAAGTACCTTGTATTCTCACTCCTATACGGTCTTATAACTTGACGTGGAGGAGATTCGCAAGCGATTTCTCTCTGTCATGGACTGTCACTGGACTGGGTCAACCGCATTTCCAATGCTACCAGCCGGCAGGGTGTGTTTGTTTTGAATTCAAACTAATTTTCTCATTACAAAAAATGTAATTTGAAAGAAAATAATTTTTTTTTCACACTGATATGTACTTTTTTTTGTTTATATATGAAACTTTGTCATAGTTAATTATTTTTTATACAACTAATTATATTATTAATTTTAATTTTATTTATAATTATAATTTAAATTGAAATTTAAATTGAAACTATCATAACCTACTTTGACCCTACTTTAACACTACTTTAAACCTAGTTTCAACCTACTTTAACTCTACATTGGATCTTCTTTGCCTTTACATTGAACCTGTTTTGACCCTTCATTGAACCTTTGAATTTTCATTGAACCTTTTATAAACCTATTTAGACTCTACATTGGACCTATTTTGACCCTACATTAGGCCTTTATTAGACCTACATTAGACGTGTTTTGATCATAGATAGAACCTATATATTAAACTTTCTATAAACCTATTTTGACTCTACATTGGACTTACATTTGACCTACCTTGAAACTAATTGTAACTAATTAAAAATATTAATTATAAATAAAAATATTAATTTTAATTAAAAATTTTTATTTTAATTAATATTTATTATTTTAATTAAAAATTTTTATTTATTTATTTTCAAAATAATTTTTTGGCGAAAATTATGGAGAGAGGAAAAATTGTATTTTAATATTTTGTAAACTAGAACAGAATATAAGAGCGCGTTACTAATGTTACGTGTAATAGAGCACGAACGCACCGTGTCTATAACTAAACCAAGTTTTGAAGCGTGCACGTATGAATGCATTTATACAGAATCAACGGATACTTTACCAGTATAAATTATTTACTCTGTAGTTTGTAAAATGATTATAATTTAAAAAAAAATATATATAAAACTATCAACGTTAATTATTTACAATAATAATCATAATAATACATAATATAAATAATCAACAAAATATTAATAAATATATAAATAAAAATAATAATGATAATAAGAACAATAATAAAAAAAACAAAATAATAATAATAATAATAATAATAATAATAATAATAGATAAATAATTATATTTATTAGAAAATAGTTAAAATGTTTGAATTATTGTTATTTTGAAAATATATAAATAAATTTCGCGTATATTTAAAATTACAAAATCAGTTAACGCACTTTCTCTTCATTTTTTTTTTTTTTTTTTGAAATAAAAATGTGAACGAAATTTGAAACGCACGAGCAAAAATGAAACTTTTTCTCTGACAATCAATCAGTTCAAAACATTTGAAAATCCACTTCTATAATATTGTAAACGAGTCTCGATAAGAGACTTTCATAAAAAAAAAAAAAAACAACACTCAATTTTCTTAAGTGAAATTATTTTCTATATTCAAATCGACTAATCGTTTTTTATCCATCGATGTCAAAAATCGATGTTAATAAAATTAAAAATTACCAATCACCAACATAAAAAAAAAAATTAATAAATAATCAAAAATTTGATAAATAAAATCAATGAATTATAAAAAAAAAAATTTTATTAATTTATAACAAAAATCACTCACCGATTCCATATCGAAACCGTAAACCATCGTGTTTTGTGCACTGTGATTCGTCTTCACCCAAAAAAAAAAAAAAAAAAAAAAAAAAATTATCACTCACGAGACTTTTCCAAGGAGGAGGGGCGGGGGGGGGGAGAAGATAATCCACGTAAAAAAAATTAACTCTTCTTTTTTCGTAGTATTCGTAAAAATTTTACGTGATCACATGTACCGGCAATGGTCCACATGAACAAATGTGGATGAATGAAAATCGTGTTTGCAATAAATCGCGAACGCGTACAAAAATTTTTAACACTTATTAATTGATAGGAGAAATTTTGTAATAACTTTTTTTTTCGCGATATATATATATATATATATATATATATATAGATCAAAATATTATATGCGTATGACAATTATGTATGGGCTCGAGAAATTGTAAACAGCGAGCTTCTCTCTTGTCGAAGCCTATTCTCTGACTACCGATGAAAGCAACTATAGAGTGGTTCTTAGGCCCGAGTCTTGGAGAACAGGCCAAAGCGAGCGGGTTCGCGCGAACGGCGACCTACTAACGCTCGACCTGCGCCTGATGCGCAAGCGCTCAAGACAATTATTTCAGTCACGTTAACCGAAAGATTCTCAAATAGCTGCGCCTGCGCATTCTTTTGATATTTTTTTCCACCTTTTTTTTATACGACCCTTAAATACAAAAAAATTGCATTTTTCCAAAAGTCTCCTCGTTCGCTTGAAACGGGCGTTAAATAATAATAATAATAATAATAATAATAATAATAATAATAGGCGCGCACCTTTAGCGTTGATGATGACTTCTCTGCACGAGACTCTTGAGAGAGCTCAGATTTCCTCTGATACCTAGACATTGATTTATCGACAAACTAACTATTGCTAATAATATATTAATTTATTAAAAAAAAATTATTTTTTCAAATTACAATTTTTTTAATTATATAAAAAAATTTTACCTTCATCTATTGGGTATATTTATTATTTGTAGGAAAGTGATGTAGTTTTAAATACCATTACGATCTATTGCGCAGCTATTAACGTTATGATGATCTATTGCGCATAAACAATTTTTAGAACGATTGGTGAAATTTTGTCTTTGTAATGCAAAGATCAAGTTCTACTGCGCATGTGAAGTTTTCAAGAAGATCTACTGCGCAGCTGTCAACGTTATGATTATCTATTGCGCATATACAATTTTCAGAAAGATTGGGCAAATGTCATTATAGTGCAAGATCAAGATCTACTGCGCATGTGAAGTTTTCAAAGAAGATCTACTGCGACGAATTAAATTTAAACAAAGATCTAATGCGCAGATCTTAGTAATCTAATTTAAAATCACTGCGCTACATTAAACGATAAGGATCTATTGCGCACATTATATTTTAAAAGCTCTCTTGTGCATTCAATATTTATAGCGAGAAGATCTAATATTTAATTATAAATGCAATTTGGATCTACTGCGCAGCAGTCAACGTTATGATGATCTATTGCATATATACAATTTTCAAAACGATTGGGCAAATTTTGTCTCTGTAGTGAAAATATCAAGATCTACTGCGCATTTGACGTTTTTAAGAAGATCTACTGCGACGAATCAAGTTCAAATAAAGATCTAATGCGCAGATCTTAGTAATCTAATTTAAAATCACTGCGCTACATTAAACGATAAGAAAACTTCACATGCGCAGTAGATCTTGATCTTGCACTATAATGACATTTTCAGAACGATTGGGCAAATGTCATTATAGTGCAAGATCAAGATCTACTGCGCATGTGAAGTTTTCAAAGAAGATCTACTGCAACGAATTAAATTTAAACAAAGATCTAATGCGCAGATCTCAGTAACCTAAATTAAGATCACTGCGCAATAGTAAACGCTAAAGATCTATTGCGCACATAAAATTTTAAAAACTCTAAATATTTACAGCAGAGAAATCTAATGTCTAATTCTAAATACAATTTGGATCTACTGCGCAACTGTCAATGCTATGGCGATCTACTGCGCATAAACTAATTTTTCAACGATTTATTGCGCAAATTTTTTTCTCTTTTTAGTACAAAAATTATTGCGCACGTGCTATAAAGCACATCTAAAGAAAGAATATATTTATCTCAATGTTAAATAAATATTTATTTGTTTCAAATAAAATTTAGATCAAAAACGAATTTATTTTTAGTGCTTAAACACTTTTAAATTATTAATAAAAATAAAAAATGCGATTAAACCAAAATATTATCTCTCTTAAAAGATGAAAAAACCAAATAATGCTTAAAAATTTTTATTAAAAAAAAAAATGTTGCTTTAGCAAAAGCTTAATTTTTGTGAAACATTTCGTAAAACGATTATTAAGCATTTTGTTTCGCTTAATCTTATTTTATCTTTTACATCGATAAATCGTTTTGTTAATCTTCAATTATGCTCGAGGGGCCCAGTGAAGATCAATGAAAAATGAGTGCAACAAGTATTAGATGATAAATATCCATACAGTCACAATATAAATTATAGTTAAAGATCTATTTTACAGAATTGTAATTTAGATACATATGAAATATTTAGTCGTTTCATTGTCAAGAAACTAATAAAAGAATGGTGTTTATGAACTGCTAATTGCATTTTGTTATTGAACTGTCTGACTATAAACGTAATTTCTACTGTGAGATGCAATTTCTGTCATTATAATAAGAATTGTGTGGCACTTTTGCATTCGGAATATAAAATAACTCCATATATATATATAGAGGTCAAAAACGAAAAATAATGATAATATTCTTGATGTTAGATATTCAGTTCTCTCGGGAAGTTCGTTACCCGATTAAATTTGAATATTTAAGTATAGAATTTGAATGCTTTTTGTCAAAATTTCATGTGCTTTCATATATATTCACTATGATGCTCTCTTAAGTAGCAAAAATTTGAATTTTCAATTTTAATAAAGTGCAAAATTAAAAATTTATATTAACTATATTTTTTTCATGTATTAATTAATTTCATACTCGACTTTACATTAAAATATATTTTCAATATTTTTAAATAAAAAAATTTCTACCACTTTCTTTTTCTTTTTCGAGATTTTCGATTTTATATGAAAACAATTTTGATAAGCGGTAGGAAAAAATGGAATTTTCAATAAAAAAAAAAAAAAAAATACTGATTTATTTTATACAGATGGGCAGAAATTGACACTTAGTACCCTTTTTTTTAGAGAATAACAAAATTCATAAGCCATAAAAATTTGTTATCACCCATAAAAAATTTTTGTTGAACAAATAAAAAAAATGTCGTGTATGTAACTCTACAATTCACGAAAAATTTTGTGATTTTATTCTTTTGGTCACCAACAATTATTTACGATCAATAATAACTTTATTTTTGTTTTTTTTTTATCGAATAATAAAAATAATAAACTAAAATTGATACTTTACTGAGAAATAAACGAAAAAATTCTAAATACAAGAAAAATATCAATTAATTAAAGGTACTAATCTTTTTTTTAATAATTATTATTTAAAGAACAATTGCAATAATAAAAATCTATTGTCATTTATCGAAAACATAAATTGTTATCTATTGAATATTAATGGAATCATTGAAAATTCAAAAAAAAATTTCCGCAATAATTTGAATTAATTGCAATTTCAATTAATGTCGGATATTTCCTGATTTAATAATTATATTACTGTCCTCTAACCTATATTTAATTTTAATTCACGGTCATGTTGTGATGGTTCATCTATTCCTGGTGTATAAATGTTTGGATTGAAATATAAACTCAAATGACGTGCGAAATTGGTAGGTATCATTTAGATTATTGCAAATTTAAATCGTTTCTAATTATATTTATGTCCTTTTATCACAATATTATTAATGGCAGAATTTTTTTTTTAATTTTACTTTTAAAACAAACAAAAAAAAAAAAAATTTTCTCAACAAAAAAAATTTTATTTTTATCTTTTTATAACTTTTAGTTTAATAACTTTATATATGTTTTTTTGAATTAAAAAAATAATTGTATTTGCAATAAAAAAAATTGAAATCAAAATAATCATTAAAAAGATTTATGATTTACATTTCAACGAGAATTAAGATTTCTAACTTTAGGAAATAATAAAAATAAAAAGATACGTGTTCAGATTGCAACATATATATTTTTGTTGTTGTGAAATATTGAAATTTCCATTGTTTACAAAAATTCAGCTTACACTCCCTGCGAGATAAGCTTCTTTACCACACTCTGGACACCGGACCACCATTTCTAAAGATAAGGTGAAATACTGCAAAGATTTGAATAACAGAAGTTTTAAGAAGAGGGTAATACTTTTTTATTCCTTTTTTTATATATATGACAACTATCTGTCCTTTTTTTTTTAATCTCAAACACCGGAATTTTTGTGATAAAAATCAAACAATTATTTTCAATTTCATTTTTATTGAAATATACAATTTTTTTAAATAAAATTTTTTTTCACTTTGCAATTGTTTTAATTATTTTGTACTAGTATTTTATATACATTTAAATATTTTTCAATATGTCTTCAATTATTCTATACATCTGGTTCATATCGTTTTCCAGTTTATAATTTTATTATATTATTATATTAATATTATTTTAAAAGAACTTATTTTTAATTTTTCCGGGTGGAAAATTTTGTAACACTAAATATTTCTTTTAAATAAATAAATAAAAATAATTTTATATGCAAAAATTTCGATTTTAAAAATTACTAATCATTTAAAAAAAGAATATTTCTTTGAAACAAAAACTAATTTCAATTTCTCACAATGATTTCAATATTTGAATAATTAACACTCCTGAATAAATTAAAGTTTCCTGTTGGACTTTCCACTGAATCACTGTTAACTATATAATACATATATAAAATATAAAAGTGAGACTTTTAAAAGAAACAATTGAGAGAATTTAATTAGAAATTACATAGAATCAGTGAAATAGTTTCGTAAGTAAATTAACATAATTGCAATTAGATTAATGCTAATTAGGACTTTCTGAAAAAAAAATTTAAAAAAATAATAATAATAATAATACTAAATACGCAGATATAAAAATAAATAAAAGTTTCTATGAATGGAATAATTATTATTTTTTTGACAACTGATAATATAAATTAATTTGATTTGCTCTAGTCAAATATTGTGTTGAATTTTTTAACTCTTGTATAAATTATTTTTTATTTTTTGATGTATACAAGACTTTTGCCACGTACGAAGAAAAAAGGTTTTTATATTATATACAATTAAATGTTTTCCATATTTGGATATAGACATTAGATTTTAACGCCAAAGATTTCCTACGAATATATATATATATATATATATATATAAATGAGATTCGAGATTATTCGCAACTTTAGCGCATATATATATATTCAATTGTGTGGATCGGATTAGCTGAGAGATCGCGCGCGCGGTACTTTTTCTACAATTCTTTTAAACAGAAAATCTCTCATTGTT